CACATATCAATCACACCCACAAAACGGTAGAATATAATCGTGAAAAAAATTTTTTTGGTGTACCCTACATGTAACGTGGGGATGATTTTTTTCATCTTCTACCCCATTGTGTCAGTTTATCGTTGAATATGTCCTTTAAAATTGACTTAGGGTTTGTTAAGACTTTCTACACAAAATTACAGCTCTCTAGTACCAACAGTCTCCTAGTAAAACCTCGGACAAACAGCCAGACAGACGGGCTTTACAAACTATAATAGTTCCTTGTCAGGACTACGAAACCCTAAAAACGGGTCAAGTGTGAATCATTCGGACACCTAAGACGAGCTCGATGGCGCAGGTGGTTAGCGCGTTCGGCTGCGATCGTTGTATTTAAGCAACTTTCGCAGTGGTCGGTCATTGGATGGGTGACCGCAAAATTTACTATCTCGAGCTCCTCCGTGCTTCGGAAGGCACGTTAAGCTGTTGGTCCCGGCTGCATCTGCAGTCGATAGCACCCACCAATCCGCACTGGGCCCGCGTGGTGGGTCATGGCCCAATCTCCCTATTCCATTCATAGGGAAGGCCTGTGCCCCAGCAGTGGGGTCATTAATAGGCTGATGATGATGAAGGGTTCCCTACAAACTCGCAAGTACAGTTTGTACGAAAAGAGCTTGAGCGGCATATTTTAATGAAATCCTTAGCAGCTTAAAACGCAAAATTGTAATTTATTAAGTTTCTATTGATGTTTGCTGCGTTAATATTAATAAGGCATCCAATCTCCATTAGTTCCTAAATCACTTGACATGTTCGTGGCATACTTACCGTCAGTTTTTCAGTTAAGCTGCACAGTCAGACCTCCACAAGGACTTTAGTTCATTACTCATGAACACAAGGACTTTAGTTCATGAGTAAGGTCAGAAACAGTCACTGCGTTTATTTGTCCTTAGCATAAGCTGTAGTTTCTGTATCCACGTGCAAATATTTTCAATTAAATTAGTAATCAAATCATTTTTTTATTATATGATGTAACTAAAAATTACGAAGTACTATAAGACGTTACTTCGTACCAAATTTCAAGATTCTTCATTTCAAGGTTGTATCTTTTGATTGCTTTGGCTTAGAAGTTTGTTTTTTTAACAGCTTCTAGGGACGGTAGACTTGAGTATTAGATATGAATTTCAGTTTGATACCTCCACGCGTTACTGAGAAAAACGGTCTTGACAGACGGACGGACTAAAAGTGATCCTATAAGGGTTCCGGTTTTTCCTTTTGAGGTACGGAACCCTAAAAGATAAGCTTCATCGAAAAAGAACTTAGCCCAGTCCTGATATTTGTTTTCGCATGTCCAATGCAGCTTTTTTAGGGTTCCGTAGTACTGACAAGAGTGACAAGGAACCCTTATACCTTAAGGTCCCCGGTCTTGCTTGGAGACTGTTAGCACTAGAGAGTTGCAATTTTTTGGGGATATGTATATCAATCACATCGACAAAATGGTAGAATAAAATTATGATTTTTTTAGGATAGCTCCCCTACGTGTAGCCTGGGGGTGATTTTTTTTTCATCGTCTACTTCCATCGTGTGGGGTATCGTTAAATAAGTCCTTTAAAATTACTTTATTAGGGGTTCTTAAGACTATTTTCGATTTAGGGAGCCGTTTTACGAAATATTGAACTTTAAAGTGTTAATTTTTGTTCCAGTAGGGCGTAAAAATTCTTACCTATGGAACGTTCCCTTAGAAGAAAACATTAATAGTTACACAGATAGGCAACTGAGGAACCCTACACTTCGCGTGTATGACACGCACTTGGCCGGTTTTTATACTTTTTCAGAAAGTCGTATTTCTTCACAGTGTTTTTTAGAAAGAAACTGGAGAGAAAATTTATGTTTTTCTACAAATAATTTTAGAGAAATGATGATTCTATTCAACTTTTTGAAGTTATACTTCTTTAGGCGCGTTATGAAAAAATGATGAGAGTGAAATTTTAAGATGCGCGCGCATCACTGTAACACAAAAAATTAACAGCATGAAGTTGGTCGCTTTAGCGACCAACTTCATGCTGTTACTTTTGTGTTTACCGCACATTAAGAAAATCTACCAACAAAATAGAAATAGAATTTCTATTTTGTGGAAATAGAATTTCTATTTTGTGGGTTCTAACGACTGCATTGTGAAGGCCTATCAAAAGTATTTATTAATCTGGAACAACGGAACCAAAGCGCGATTCAGGAGACTACAGCGCCATCTCTTGACCATTGGTGTAGTAGAACCAAAAACCACATCTTTATTTTTTGTAATAAAGTAACAGTTATAGGTATTCATATTTATAATATTTATCCACATGTTTCTAGTTTGTATATTCGGAATACGTGTTTGAGTTTCATACAAGTGCAAATCACATATGTTCTAATAAATTATATTCAGTAGCGATTTTAATTGAATATTTTGATTATTTATTTATTTTTTCAAATTAAAACTGAACATTATTGACTGTGTCCTTTTCCAGACTTTTTATTAATTTATTGTAATTAATTATTTTCATGCAATTAAAAACTAATTTTAAACGATGCCAAAGAAGGATAACTTCTCACGCGCCTACATAAGTACACGCACCCATTTTTTATTTACATTTTACTAAACTGCATACAATAAAAATACACTGGTCACGTTCTTGTCGAGCACTGTGTCTGTTAATAAAATATGTAGTTCTTTCAGGAACAATCTCGAAATTGGCATTAGTGTTTTTCGACACACGCTTTTTGTTTTTTTTTTTATTTTTTATTTGATTTCAAGATTTTTCCCTTTTTAAGGGTTCCGTACCAAGAGGTAGAAAACGTAACAACTTCCTACTATGTCTCTCAGTCTGTCACATGGTTCTAACTCTTAAAAGGAGATAATTAACTGTGAACACCTGAAATTTTCACAGAATGCCTGTTACTGTGCCTTCCTCAACAAATAATTAAGAAAGAAAGAAAATAAATATTTTATTGGCCTTCACCGCAATACATTATAGCACCGCAAACAAAAAGATAGAAAAACATGAAAACCGGAAATAAAAGAGATAATAAATAAACAAGAAAATTGTTTACTGATAGTGCTGTGCAGTTGCTGTGAGGGTCAACAGGTCGCTGTTTCAGCTATGCTACTGTAGTAGTACTTACGCAAAACTACAACAGCTTAAGGGTTGTTTATCAAACTTTTTTTTAATCATTAAATTGCTCGATTCATAAATTTTTATATTATGTTTTAGGCAGGACTCGAAGTGCGGGTGCACTAATGAAGGTGTCGTGTGTTTTAAATTAAGGGTATTACTGTTATAATTTTTATTTTTTAAGCATGTAACTTCTTGATGTTTAAAATCTAAAGAAAATATAACTAGAAAAAAAACCTTCTTTCAAATGTTTAATACTTGTAAAAGTATTCGTTTGCTACTTACAATGCGAAGAGATGGCGCTGCCTTGCAGCTTGAGAATGGCTAGAAGAATTTCGACGCGGTAGCATAATTGGTCAAGGGTATTACTTTTTTATATTATCGGGGGCATACGTGCTGCCCACTCATCTGGTTACTTTACATTAATGTGGCCATACACACTACGAGAAATCGTTACGATTAGACTATACCGTTCGGACCGACCGGTTATCGGAAAATTGCACAGTTTCTTATACGTACGCCACGTACGTAAACTGTTCCGTTCGTACACTGTACAGTGTACAGTCTGATCGTAACGATTTCTCGTAGTGTGTATGGCTACCATTACAGACAAGTAACCGTATATATTTCTCTGTCTTTGTTCCAGCGTTCTATTTTATGGACCTCATAACTTCATTCGTATTTAAGAAAATAGGTGACTCTGATGCAGTGGCGGACTAACAGGGGGGCGGAAGGGGCGGCCCGCCCCGGGCCTCCGATCTTGGGGGGCCCCCTAATGCCTACGCGTTCCCCTGATCAAATGCTAAACAAGACTTTAAAAATGTACTTAGTAGTATGTAGGTTTATTTTCATCAAGATCAAAACACTACAGCCATCTAGTCTTATTACGCGGTACTAATATTCTTTTAACTGAACGCGTCCAATACGCTGGGGGAAATCCCGTTTTTGTAGCTTTTTGTAATTCACTCTTGTACGCCTACATTTACATTCACTACATTATATTTACGTCGAAAAATATACATCGGCTTCATTTAAAATATAGGTATTTTTATGTTTAATAGTTTATTAGTGCGTTCCGAGAACGGATCAGCCTTTTTTCAAACGCGATATTATCCGTTTTAAGTAATTTTATTAAAAAGTGTAATTTTGCTTTTTTATTTTTGTTACGGTATAAAAGAAAACGAGTTCAGAGTTAAGATAATGCATTATCGCGTTTTTGGAAAAAGTAATTAATTATTCGAATAATTTAGCCTAGAAATTATTATCCGTAGTTTTTAGTCAATATGTACCATATTTTAGGTATGTATGTTTATTTAGCCGAAATAATTTAAATGTCACTTGTCAGATTTTAACGAAAAAAACATAAGAAACTAAATTTTTTTTAAAGCTGAGGGGCCTCATTCAGCTTTGCCGCCCCGGGCCTCTGACGGGCTTAGTCCGCCACTGCTCTGATGGATGGGTTATGAAGAAACTTTCTATTCTATCTCTTATCTAGTAGACAAGTCCGTCCGTCTGTCTGTGGTGCTGTTGCAGCGGCCAAACCGCAAGAGATAGATAAAGAGAATATTTAAGTTATAAGTTAAGAATAGTCTGATAAGACTACAAATCGGATTTGAGTAACGTAGCACTTCCGGTTTTCGAGAAATCACGAATTTCAAACGAAACCACACAAAATCTCCGAAGTTCTCAATTAATTAAATACATTTTTTTTTTAATCAGGTTTTGGTGAACATTTGGTTCATTGGTTTGCTAGTTCTACTCTATTCTATTCTAAGTCCTTCAGAAGACAGTGTTTCGTATAATTATTTTGTGCTACGGTAAGCTAAATAATATGTTCGTTTTATTTAAAAAATACGTGTGTGTTGTCAGCGCATGCGGTGGTGGGTGGCGGCGGCGGCGGCGCTGACGGTGGCGGCGGGCCCCCCCTCCCCCTCCCGCGCCCCGGCCTCGGACTCCGCGCCCCCCTCCCGCGCCCCGGCCTCGGGCTCCGCGCCCCCCTCCCGCGCCCGGGCCCCGGCCTCGGCCCCCGCTCCCTGCGCCACCAACCCGCTGTGCGTGTGCCGCGGCGACCACCTCGCCTGCAGCCATGTGCCCTTCCACCGGTTCCCCGAAACTGGTAACCACACACCAACTATTTATAGTCAAGCAATAAACAAACTAACACTTAGTTTGTTTCATCGTCATCAGCCTATTTATGTCCTTGCTATTTGGTTGTCGTATAGATAGAATAGGAAGAATCAGCAATGATCCACCACGCGGGTCCTGTGCGGATTGGTGGGTTGCAACCTTAGATTAAAACAAAAAGGGTAGATGCGGTACGCTCATACTTGCATCAAACAAAAACTGATCCCGAACCGAGCAGCGCGAACGGGACGGTGAGATGCGCCTCACTGCATTACCGACCCGAACGAAACAGCACGTTAAGTTTCAACGGCAGCGCGAACGAGACGGCGAGATCCGCGTCACTGCACTACCGACCAATCACGCGACGAGTACTCGACTTCCCTACCGAATAAGATTTAAAACAAACAGAATTTTTTATGAAAAAATATATTTTATAGTACTTTTACGAGTGAAAAGTGTTGCCGTGGGTTTTATTTTTAGTTCTTGAGCAATTTGAGCACTTTTTAAAAACACACTTAGGCATTGTTTTATCATATAAACACAAAATATTGGCAATATTTCTTTTTGACGTTCACATGTACGTCGTTTGCATGTCAAGTTGTGAGTAAAGCGATTAGGGTCGTGGACCACAATTCATGCGGATCACTTTTGTGAGGCTAGCGCCGTATCTACCCTTTTTGTTTTAATCTAAGGTTGCAACGACTGCAGCGTCCAACGGCTTGATGTGTCATTCCGAGCTCGGAGGAGCTCGATTAGACATCGTCGTCAGCCATTTCTTGTCCTTACTACTGCAGGCTATCATGACACATACAAATGTAGATTATTTGTCGTGGCCGTCGTCGTTACAATTGCAGCCTGAATCATGTCCTCCCTGAGCGTGGAGGAGTTGCTCGTGACGCGCCAGCACTTGGTCATTGTGACGAAGGATTTCTATACGAACTGAGATACTTGCAAACGACGTTAAAATCTGCACTCACGCGCTACGCAATGCAGCGCGATGCAGTGCAGTATAATTATGGACGCTTTGAGCATCTACTTTTTACAATAATATTTATCAGTTAAAATGATGACAATCGTGAATTACGTGTTAGAAGAGGTACATATCGTGGTGTTATAATTGTAACAGATGATTCGGTGTGGCACGTGGCGGTGTCGCAGGCGCGGCTGGGCGCGCTGGAGGAGGCGGCCCTGGACGCGCGCCGCCTGCGCACGCTCGTGCTGGTCGCCTGCCGGCTGCACCGCCTCGACGCCGCGGCGCTCGCGTAAGCACTACCTACCTACATACCTACCTGGGCGCGCTGGAGGAGGCGGCCCTGGACGCGCGCCGCCTGCGCACGCTCGTGCTGGTCGCCTGCCGGCTGCACCGCCTCGACGCCGCGGCGCTCGCGTAAGCACTACCTACCTACATACCTACCTGGGCGCGCTGGAGGAGGCGGCCCTGGACGCGCGCCGCCTGCGCACGCTCGTGCTGGTCGCCTGCCGGCTGCACCGCCTCGACGCCGCGGCGCTCGCGTAAGCACTACCTACCTACATACCTACCTGGGCGCGCTGGAGGAGGCGGCCCTGGACGCGCGCCGCCTGCGCACGCTCGTGCTGGTCGCCTGCCGGCTGCACCGCCTCGACGCCGCGGCGCTCGCGTAAGCACTACCTACCTACATACCTACCTGGGCGCGCTGGAGGAGGCGGCCCTGGACGCGCGCCGCCTGCGCACGCTCGTGCTGGTCGCCTGCCGGCTGCACCGCCTCGACGCCGCGGCGCTCGCGTAAGCACTACCTACCTACATACCTACCTGGGCGCGCTGGAGGAGGCGGCCCTGGACGCGCGCCGCCTGCGCACGCTCGTGCTGGTCGCCTGCCGGCTGCACCGCCTCGACGCCGCGGCGCTCGCGTAAGCACTACCTACCTACATACCTACCTGGGCGCGCTGGAGGAGGCGGCCCTGGACGCGCGCCGCCTGCGCACGCTCGTGCTGGTCGCCTGCCGGCTGCACCGCCTCGACGCCGCGGCGCTCGCGTAAGCACTACCTACCTACATACCTACCTGGGCGCGCTGGAGGAGGCGGCCCTGGACGCGCGCCGCCTGCGCACGCTCGTGCTGGTCGCCTGCCGGCTGCACCGCCTCGACGCCGCGGCGCTCGCGTAAGCACTACCTACCTACATACCTACCTGGGCGCGCTGGAGGAGGCGGCCCTGGACGCGCGCCGCCTGCGCACGCTCGTGCTGGTCGCCTGCCGGCTGCACCGCCTCGACGCCGCGGCGCTCGCGTAAGCACTACCTACCTACATACCTACCTGGGCGCGCTGGAGGAGGCGGCCCTGGACGCGCGCCGCCTGCGCACGCTCGTGCTGGTCGCCTGCCGGCTGCACCGCCTCGACGCCGCGGCGCTCGCGTAAGCACTACCTACCTACATACCTACCTGGGCGCGCTGGAGGAGGCGGCCCTGGACGCGCGCCGCCTGCGCACGCTCGTGCTGGTCGCCTGCCGGCTGCACCGCCTCGACGCCGCGGCGCTCGCGTAAGCACTACCTACCTACATACCTACCTGGGCGCGCTGGAGGAGGCGGCCCTGGACGCGCGCCGCCTGCGCACGCTCGTGCTGGTCGCCTGCCGGCTGCACCGCCTCGACGCCGCGGCGCTCGCGTAAGCACTACCTACCTACATACCTACCTGGGCGCGCTGGAGGAGGCGGCCCTGGACGCGCGCCGCCTGCGCACGCTCGTGCTGGTCGCCTGCCGGCTGCACCGCCTCGACGCCGCGGCGCTCGCGTAAGCACTACCTACCTACATACCTACCTGGGCGCGCTGGAGGAGGCGGCCCTGGACGCGCGCCGCCTGCGCACGCTCGTGCTGGTCGCCTGCCGGCTGCACCGCCTCGACGCCGCGGCGCTCGCGTAAGCACTACCTACCTACATACCTACCTGGGCGCGCTGGAGGAGGCGGCCCTGGACGCGCGCCGCCTGCGCACGCTCGTGCTGGTCGCCTGCCGGCTGCACCGCCTCGACGCCGCGGCGCTCGCGTAAGCACTACCTACCTACATACCTACCTGGGCGCGCTGGAGGAGGCGGCCCTGGACGCGCGCCGCCTGCGCACGCTCGTGCTGGTCGCCTGCCGGCTGCACCGCCTCGACGCCGCGGCGCTCGCGTAAGCACTACCTACCTACATACCTACCTGGGCGCGCTGGAGGAGGCGGCCCTGGACGCGCGCCGCCTGCGCACGCTCGTGCTGGTCGCCTGCCGGCTGCACCGCCTCGACGCCGCGGCGCTCGCGTAAGCACTACCTACCTACATACCTACCTGGGCGCGCTGGAGGAGGCGGCCCTGGACGCGCGCCGCCTGCGCACGCTCGTGCTGGTCGCCTGCCGGCTGCACCGCCTCGACGCCGCGGCGCTCGCGTAAGCACTACCTACCTACATACCTACCTGGGCGCGCTGGAGGAGGCGGCCCTGGACGCGCGCCGCCTGCGCACGCTCGTGCTGGTCGCCTGCCGGCTGCACCGCCTCGACGCCGCGGCGCTCGCGTAAGCACTACCTACCTACATACCTACCTGGGCGCGCTGGAGGAGGCGGCCCTGGACGCGCGCCGCCTGCGCACGCTCGTGCTGGTCGCCTGCCGGCTGCACCGCCTCGACGCCGCGGCGCTCGCGTAAGCACTACCTACGAGTACCTACATACCTATTCACCATACCAGTTTTGTCTCCAGTTCATTTACTCTTACTGCAATTTGGCTCCGGAATGCACTTCCTCTACACGTGCGAAACGCTCCAAACAAGACTGCGTTTAAGATTTTGGCGCGGGAACATTACTTAAATCTATTGGAAAGCGCTTAAGCTCAATCAGATTACTATAATCGGACACTGTATAATTAAGTATATGTTTATATGTATGAATTTTTGTTTATGTGTAATATTACATATATATAGGATATGTAATTTTGTATGTGTATATATAATTATGTTTATGTTTTAAGCGTTGTTTGATGTTAACTCTCTATTTTTTTTATTCTTTGCCGTTATATTCGCTCTGCACGTTCTTTCCGGTTGACTGGTAGAGAATGCCATATTGGCATTAAGTCCGCCATTTGCATATAAGGCAATAAAGATTAAATAAAAAAATAAAATACCTTAGCTTTAAATATAAATAGCATACTTATACAATCCCGACGTTTTGTATCACAGGTCAATGGAAAACACACTGGCATCATTAGATTTAGGATACAATGAGTTCACGGAATTGCCCCTAGAAGCTATAAGAGAGCTGAAAGTCTTAAATTGGCTTAATCTTCAAAAGTAAGTATCATATGGTACCTAAGCTGGTATTGTTTTAAGACAAATGTGATCATTAACTTATTTCGTATTGTTGCAGCAATTTCATAAGCGAAATCGATCCGATGTTTAATTGGGGATATTTGACGGAGTCCCTGAGCAGTTTGTCTTTAAGTAATAATCAAGTGAGCGTGCTCAAATCGGGTGCTCTGTCGTCGCTGCGGCACCTGACGCAGTTGGAATTGGATGGCAATCGAGTTCGAATATTAGATCCAACAGCGCTGCCGCCCGCGTTGGTGCTATTGAGACTTTCCGATAATCTATTGACTCAATTGCCCTGTCCGCTGAACAAGCTGCCCCGCTTGCGACATTTACATCTACGAAATAATCTTATCCGCTCCGCCGTCGATAGCTTTTGCCATTTTGAAAACAATAAAATCGATGCCTTAGACTTGAGTCATAACGAATTAAGCGATCCTTTTGAATTTCAATTCTTAAGCAAATACCAACTGAAACAGCTCAACCTAGATCTCAACGATTTTACGACAATACCTTACTTCGAAAACAGTCGATTAGAGAAGTTATCTATATCTTACAATCGATTAATTGAAGTTGCAGACGCAGCTATACAAGCACTAAAACGTAACTTAGAAAAGCTCGATTTGGACCACAATGAGCTGACTTCGTTGCCGAGCAGCTTCCGCGAGCTTACGCGGCTCAGGTTCTTATCACTCGCATATAATATGCTGACGGAGTTGAGTGACCTACCGTCACATTTACACTCACTATCATTGGCTGGCAACTTTTTGACATCGTTTCCACCAGGGCTGCGCGGGCTGGAACCGGCAACTTTAGTGTTATTAGACCTGGGTTATAACCAGTTGACGACAATTCCACACGATGCGTTTGGAACGTGGGCGGGAGCATTGACCACACTCAATCTCCGTGGAAACCAACTGGCTCAGCTGCCGGCGGATGTTTTTCCTGCGACGTTGCCGGTACGTGAGCTCGCGCTCAGTTTCAACGACCTTTATCACGTGGATAGTAGTGCCTTTGCGAACCTTACGAGGCTACGCGTTCTTGAGCTGTCATCGACGTTATTCAACGGAGAGTTTCCACTCGAGGCAGTGTCGCTGGATTTGAAGTGGTTAACCTTGGACAACAATAATATACATTATATTACAACCAGCGATTTGGATAACTTTCCGTCGTTGGAATATCTTAATTTAGACTTTAATAAAATAGTTAAATTTCCTAGTCAAATCACCAACTTCAGTTTAGCTTATAAACTCAAAGAATTGCGACTATCTTATAATTATATTACCAACGTCAGTCGAGAATTTTTAAGAGAACTAAGCGAATTACAAAGTCTAGATTTATCTTACAATCGCTTGCATAACATCAGTGACCGATGCTTTGAGAATTTAGGAAACTTAGTTTATTTAAGCTTGGCCGGAAATGATTTGGAATTGATAGCCGAGAAAGCTTTTTACGCTTTACCTAAATTAGAAGTACTGGACTTGCAAGAAAATCGTCTAGAAGAGTTTTCTTTAGAATACTTCAGCAATGTGTCTAGCGAGGATGCAGCTTTTGCTGTTAACGTTAGTTACAATCAGCTGACGTCTCTGGTCGGGGGCCTCACAGTTTCCATAAATATTTTGGACTTATCTCATAATTTACTCGAAAGCCTATCTATAAGTTTTTTCGAGGCTATTAAATCGAGTATAAGGCAAGTTCTACTTTTTGACAATAGACTAATGCATATAGACAACCTCGGTTTTTTGCCTAAATTACAAATACTAAGCATTAGCAACAATAGCATTAACTCGATCAAAAGAAGAGCTTTCGCCGAGATACCAGAAATGCAAATACTCGATTTGTCGCATAATAAACTGTCACAGCTGGGCGCGGAGCAGTTTCACAACAATCGTTGGTTGCGGCACCTACGGTTAGCCTCAAACGAATTACGCTCATTGCCGCGCGATTGCTTCAAGAATACAGTACTGGAACATCTCGACCTGGCTGATAATCAGTTGGCCCTGTACCCCAGCAGTGCGCTCGCACACGTCGGGTTCACCCTGCGCCATCTAGACCTGGCACACAATCGGATCGAATACCTAGACGCTGCTATGTTCCAAGCAACATCTTTTCTATACGACCTCAACTTGGCTGGGAACGCTCTCACCGTCTTGTCTGACAATACATTTGCAAGTTTATCTCGGCTTTTCCGGTTAGATCTTTCACATAATACGATAAAAACGAATTTCAAAGAGCTTTTCCATAATTTACCGAGGCTCCGGCGGCTGGCACTCGCCGGCGCCGGTCTAAAGGTGGTGCCGCATCTGCCACTGATGAACCTTACGCAGCTTGATCTCAGCGAAAATCTCATATCCTCATACCGAGAAACAGATGTCAAGTGCCTCATTAACTTACGGAATCTCGATATAGCATCGAATAAAATTACTTCATTACAACCATCTATGTGGACAGTCTTTCCCAAGCTAACGAAACTCGACGTTTCTTTTAATCCATTAGTTCGCATCACAAGCAGTTCGTTCAATGGACTCGACCGACTATCATATCTGCGTATGATTCACTTATGGCAATTAGAAACCATGGATCCAAGATCTTTCCGTTCACTGCCATCGTTGCGCTCACTGACGTTGGAATCGCCAGCGGGAGATGTGCCTATAGCGGACATGGCAGAGCAGGTCCAGGGACTGGAGTCTTTAACGTTGTTGATGCGTTCGAGTGTGCTGGACACACAACTGCATGGAGTGAGGGTGTCAAAGCTTCGGGTGCTGGAATTGAAAGGTGCGGCGCTGCAGCGCGTGTCAGCCCGCGCGTTTGTGTCGTTTGGGCGACAGCGCTCTTTCACGCTTCGTATCCGTGGCACCGGAGTGCGGGCGCTTCCCCCGGGGCTGGTGCAGCAGTTGGTGCGGGTGCCACACCTGGCACTAGATCTTAGCAACAACCAACTCGCCACGCTCACGCCAGCCACCCTCTACCCGAATCTTACGGACTGGAATCGATTCGCCACCAAGCTGCTTTCAGGTGAGTGAGGAACGCAATCATTACACAGGAATTGCATTTAGTTTAATATTTTTAGTAAACTAACGAATACAAATTAAATCGAAGCCGAGTTGGACGGTGGCCATGGAAAAATATGATAAACATAATCTTCCGCTGTTGAAAACCGAATACTACCCATTAGGATATTCGAGTAGTTCTCATAAAATTATGACCTGATATCCATACTTAATATTATAAATACGGAAGCGTGTCTGTCTGTCGGTTACCTCTTCACGCATAAACTACTAATCGATTAAGATAAAATTTAGTATAGAGATAGAGTTCTGGGGAAGGACAAGATAGTTTTTATTCCAGAAATTATCTTAAAAGGTCGCTCCCTTCGCCGTAGACGAAGTCACGGGCATCCACTAGGAAAGATATAATATACTGCATATATAGAGATATGTATATATACAGGGTGTCCCACGGCTACCTCACACGGAGGAAAAGTATATTAAATATTGAAGATAGGATATTTTTCTGAAAGAAGACATCATTTTATTTTGACGTGACAACGTCTTAAATTAGGTTGCGGCTGGGAGTCACTTATGAAAAAGTGTAACGCTCGGTAACGTTACGATGAGTCTCTCGTGTTAAGTTTAAGTTTACATGTACAATGTTTTAGTAAACAAAATATATTTCTATAGTTAAAATTTGTGCAATTCTTATTTTCATTCAATTCCTTGTTCCTATTGTGCAATTTAATTATATTCATATCAATAAATATTCTACCGAGAAAAAGACGTTGTCACGTAAAATCTTCGCCCGTAAAACCGACTTTACAGGCAACCATTTTTTAATATTATTATTATTATTAAAAATAAAATCTTAAAGTTCTAGTTATCTACAACTGCATTAACAGATTTTTTAAAATCGCCTGCTTAACTGGGAATCAAACTCGTGAGATTTCGAAAAAAAAACTCAACATATTTTATATAACCATCGAAAGGGTTAATCATATATATAGTATTATTTTTTGCTAAATGACACGACAAAATGCTAAATGATATGATCAATATATATACAGAGTGGAAATTTTGAATGCCACCCCCAGGGGAAGTACTCTAAATACTGGAGATAGATAATTTTACGTAAAGGAAACATTCCTTTATTTTTAAAAAGAAACAACTGCTTACACAATTTTTCGAAAATTTGCTTGCCACACCCGGGAATCGAACTAGCGAAAATTCGAAAAAATTACACCCTTTATTTTTAAGGCATCGATCGAAAGGGTCAATCATAGGGATCATATCTTACTAATAAACTTAGTACATTAAATGGAAGGAAAAGCGTGAAATCTTAACTTAACTGATCGGAACAAGACTAAAAGCATCTCACCTGATTACATGAGTTAGTATTTTCATTATCTTCGGCGTCATTTATTTATTCAAATAACGAATAAAGAATTTTTTGTCTAAAATGCAGACTAAAGAGTCCAGTAAGGTACCAGTCTCAGGGGGGGCGCCGTACAACTTCTTTGGTACCAGTAATTTAAATGAGGTATGCAATTTTTTCGGATTTTTGGCCAGTTCGATTCCCGGGTGTGGCAAGCAAATTTTCGAAAAACTGTGAATGCAGTTGTGTTTCTTTTTAAAAATAAAGGAATGTTTCCTTTGAGTAAAATTATCTACCTCCAGTATTTAGAGTACTTCCCCTGGGGGTGGCATTCAAAATTTCCACCCTGTACATGTACATAGGTGGGCTGATGGTGTCGGGGAACCCGCTTCGCTGCGGGTGCGCCGTGTCATGGGTGGGCGCGTGGCTGCGGCGGTGGACGGGCGAGGTGGGGGGCGGGGCGAGGGACGCGCGCGCGGCCGCGAGGGACGCCGTCTGCCTCTACGGGGACGGGTACGGGTACGGGTACGGATGCAACATCCTTCTGAAAAACATCGATATATCGATGTTTTAACCGATGTTCTTTTTTTATTTTTAATAGGATGCTTCATTGAAACAATTAACAATACCGCTCTATTCGGTATAAGTATGCTCGATGCTTAAAGGTTAGTAAAAATAAGAATTACATGATGGTAAATTAAATTATAACAAAATGATTCTCATCATTCAATTAGGCAAATAAACAGATTAATATGAACTGTCAGTTCACAAGCTGCTTTAATCAACAAGCTATTCGTTTTGTCATTTTTTATAACCTTAAAATTATACGCTCAATTTTCACGTACCCGCCAACAAAAACCTAAAGAAAAAACAAACCATCAAAACCTAACTACTTTATAAATTAATTCAACGAGTACATTACTCACCCAATCAAGAAATCTAAAATGTGTTTAGGTATGTAGTCAAAGAATCAAATTTTATTTAATCAAATTCATCTACGCTTTACGCGTCAGCACAGCAATGCAATGCGAGCGAATGTCACAGTAATTCCGAAAATCCGAACAGACAAGAACGATGTCGATGTTTGTAAATGTAGTGAACGATGTATCGACGATATATCGCTCATCAAAACATCGATGTTTATGACCGATACCTCGATGTTTTACTAACATCGATGTATCGTTTGCATCCCTAGGTACGGGTCCGGGCCCCGGGCGCCCCGCGCGCGCGCGCTGCTGGCCGTCGACACGGACGCGGCGCGCTGCCACGCCAGCGCCCTCGCCAGCAGCGCGCCCGGCGCCCCGCGCCGCCCTGCCGCCCTCCCTGCCTTCCTTTGGATCATCCTGCTATATTCGATCAGTTAGTGATCGGTTCCAAACTTTAACCTTATTCACAGAGTGAGATTAAAAAAATACTGAAATTGTAAAGGATATGCTGTTCGAGCTGTCGAGAATGTTAAATTTGTTATTATTGTGACGATCCGATCCGAAAATTATTTTTAGAATTGTATACATTTCCCACCTTGAATTTGTTCTTTAAATATTAAAGTGGACGATTCGTTTCATAGTCCGTTATGAATACTTGATGTGTTTGTTTATGTTGGTTATCGCGCGAGTATGATAGTTTACCTTCCGGGTATTCATGGCATGTTGTTAATATAACATACGAAGAAACATCAGTTACGCTGACATGTAAACGTTGCGTTTAATTCTGACGTATTTCGAAATGGAGTAAAAGAAAATGCGAGGGCCACTTTTATGTATTTACACTTATGCTTTATATTTTAAACGTTAAGCTTTTGTTAGTGATACTTGCAAAAAATATTAGCAAAACTTAATGGAAATAAACGGAAGATCGTGGAATAAAGCAAAAAATTAAATCAATGATACTTGGTAAAAGTCTGTCTACATAACTGATTTAAGCTGATGTAACAGTATGCAGGCGCGGTCCGAAGGGGGGGGGGGTCACAGGGGACATGACCCCCCCCCCCCAAATCTAAGGTCATTCTTGACATTTGCTACAAAGTAACTTCTTATAGTACAGATAAAGAAAAAAATGCGAAAACCGTGAATTTTTAGTTACGTCATATAATAAAAAATTTTTTTGAAAATTCAGGTGTGTTCGGAACCCTCGGTGCGCGAGTTCGATTCGCTCTTGGTCGGTTTTTTTATTAGTGTAATAAGTGACCCCCTCCAAAATTTCAGGCTGCGACCGCGCCTGACAGTATGATGATGAAATGATGATGGTTGAAGTTACCAAACGGTACCATTATGCAAAAATAAACTGCTAACGTCGTTATTTTGTGTAAATATGGTAGGTATAGTTTTTAGCGTCCCAAAAAGGAGATAGAGCTAACTAAATGAATCAAACCACTGTACCAATTTCAAATAGAGAGAGGACATTTATTACTTCTACATAAAATACTTATGTTTACATAAAAACAAAACGATAGCGCGATTCAATAGACTATTCCTGCCATCTAGTATACAAAATGATAATCAAAGGTTTTAACACAAGTTATGCTATTATGACCTACTGCCTACTCTGACGATATCTCGTAAACTTAATTCATATAAACTGCTGAATATAACTGAAGGTAAATGACTTGTCGGCCCAAGCATTACTGAAACGGTTAGTGCAATAGGCAGTATAAGGAAAGGCGCTGATTCGCATCCAGCGAGGCAGCAGGAGGCCAAATGGATATATTTCTATTAATTTTTTTTTCAGTTATAAAAAAATTGTGTGTGTCAGCTCCGAAGCACGACTGGAGTTTACTTTTTAAGTTCGATAGTCTAACCAGACGCAAAAAGAGTTTATTTAACTTAAAAAAGATTGATACTGTATGAAAGGGTAAATTAACAAATTTATGAAAATAATATACATATATAAGTGTATTCATTTCATATACATTTATTATAACTAATTGACGAAATATTTTACATTAAACTTTTTACAATAGTCAATTTCAGATGTGCATAAATAAAGGAACGCTACGATACTGTGCTACGGTGTAGCACTACGGCTGCTACAGCGTAGACAGTAAAAACGTAACGAGGTCATTCATCGATAGATTTCACTCCTCACATTTTTCTCATACCGGGCCCCTTATATATGCAAATCGATTCTTAAGGAGTAAACTCCAAAAACGGACATGTGCTGTTCACATGCGATAGAAGTGAAACCTACAAAAATAATTCTTTATAATATTATGTAACTGAACTAAGTTTTTGAAGTGAAAACTTCTTTAGTGTCGTTTTGACTTGAGATTCGATGAAACGGAAGTAAAGTATTTGACACAAGATAGGTATCCGTGATTTTGTAACACGCTGCAAGAGACGGATAACCGAAGATAATCGACCTTGGGGTCGATACCAAAAAATCGGTGATACGATCCTGAGCTCATAGATTAGCTATGGAATTGTTGATCGAACTGTGGTTACTCCCCCGGACAGGCGCTCCGATTCGAGAGGAAAATCCCATAGACCCTACCTCTTTAAAGTGATTATCGATCGATCGATATAAATTGATCATCGAAAACAAAAAATATCAACAGAATGTGTTGCACTTATTCTTATCTTTTAAATAAATAATTATATATAAATATTTGTTTCTTAGGTTTTCACGCACATCACTCATTAAATAAAACTAGATTTTACGGGTTAATGCACGAAACTTATATATATTTATTTATTGACGTTTCGTAGCCTTTACAGGCTACGTCGTCGGAATCAAATTTTTACGAAACGAAACGTCAATAAATAAGTAAAGTTTTGTGCATTAACCCGTAAAAAACTAGTTTCATTTAATTATATATAAACTAGGTAAACTGGCGAACTTCGTTACTTTGTGTAAGTATGAGTTTGAAAGTCTGGTTAAACTATTTAACTGTTATTGGTTAAGCCTGCTGTCGATGATTTGTCAATATGTTGAAGATATCTCACAGTCTTCTAACTAATTCAATCAATCACTTTTCATAAGACGTAGATATGATATGATATGAAGTACTTTTATGTGTTCATAATTATTTTTTTACCATTTGTTTGTTTTCATTAATTTGTAAGTATTTGTGTGCTGTTGCAGTTCTTCAATATTTGATTGAACAATAAGTTAAGTTACCACAGAACAATAAGTTAAGTTAACAAATAATAATAATTTAATTACGAATTTAAATTAAACTGTGGCGGCGACATCTATATGCCCCACAGATATACAACGGATGTAGGAAATCATTACTCACCATCCTCAAGAGATGGCGTTACCTGCACTGCGATCAATAATAGTATGGAAGCCTACATCGCGCAAATGAAATTCGGAAGCTAACTCTTCATATATACGATGCCTGACCAACATCAGTTGGGCCGCGGCCCCCGAGCTAACATCACCCAGCTCGGAGGAAGATTTCCTCCATCCATTGTATATCTGTGGGGCATAAAGATGTCGCCGCCACAAAACTATAATGTTCGGTGTGCCTTTAATTATTGTTTTTCTGATTTATTCACATGTTAAAAATATGGCACATTAATATGGCCCATCTGATGGCGAGCGCTCGTTCAGATGTTCAGATTCGATCTTATATAATTTTCATATTGAAAAGTATAGTATGTTGTTTTACTTAAAACATCAATAGGGAAGACCTGTGCCCCAGCAGTGAGGACATTAATAAGCTGATTAATGATGATGATGAACATCAAATTTAAATCATAGGGAAATTGTGAATGGCTAGTCATAGGTGAGTGTGGTGTGACTGTGCTGCGAGGAGCGACGCAGAGATTTGTAAGGAATTTGTAAATATCAGTTTTGGAATGCTACATTAAATATATTTTCTTACAAAATTATTGTCTTTCATTCAACTTTCCAGTTCCTTAAACGTACAATTAAAAGTACAATTAAACAAGAACTTCTGTAAAGTGAATAATAAATCTATAATTTGGATCACTTAATTTACCTTAATTGAAGTGACGTTGAAGTAATTACTTAATTTAAAAAAGGAAATAATATCCAATTTAATTACAAATCAAGCTTTGGTACAGCGTAGCAGGTGCTTGGTTACACGTATTCGGGGCAGCACCGCAACACTGTGTAACTTAAGAAAAGTTTACTAGAAAAAAATCGAAAAAAAAATTCGACGCGGCTAATAGGGCCGTGGTAGCATAATGGACTGCGAAGGATGCGGGTTCGAGTCCCGTCCGCTGCCTGGTCCGCGTGGATTTTTTTTTCTAGTAAACTTTTCTTTAGATTTAAACAGCTAGCAGTTAAATGCTTAAAAATAAATAAAAAACATAACTGTATAACTTCTTTGACTGATTTTGATGGTGGAGGCGGAATTTAAGCTACAACATGGTACACAACTGTCCGTATAGTATATCACAGTTGTTTGCTTTATTGTTTGTAGTGTATAATCTAATCGACGAGGAGCACGATGGCGCGGGTGGTTAGCGCGTTCGGCTGCGATCATTGAAGTAAAGCAACTTTCACAGTGGTCGGTCATTGGATGGGTGACCAAAAATCTTCTATCTCGAGTTCCTCCGTGCTTCAGAAGGCACGTTAAGGCGTTGGTCCCGGCTGCATCTGCAATCGTTGGCACCCGACAATCCGCACTGGGCCCGCGTGGTGGGTCATATCCCAATCTCCCTATTCCATCCATAGGGAAGGCCGTGCCCCACTGAGTAGCGAAATAGTAAAATAATAGCGTTGCACTGCATTGCACGCACAGACTGACTACGCTACGCAATCTTATTATTATTAAGATAATAATAAGAATTATAAAACGAATTGAAAAAGGAGAAAATATATAAAAGTTAGCAATTTGTTATAGTACCTACATTAAAGGATTAAAAATTGATTATAAATTCAAACCTGTCCTTCATTATTTACCCCAGTATCCTTGAATCAGTTTACATTTAATAACTTACTATGCATAAATATTCATTGGCACAAGTCTAAATTCCAAGTTCAACCCTAGCGCATACACGCTCCTGCTCAAGGTCACTGACGCTGGAACTCTCACGTACACAGAGTGTCACCGCTGTGGCCGTAGTGCGCGCGGGTGAATGCTGGCTTTGATCCGCGGAGGCTGCGGGAACGCACAAAACTGAGATTTCATGAGTTTTGAAATAAATCCGCTTTGCGGCCTCTTAAGCAAATTCTCCAATTGCACGAAATAATTTTACGCGTGGAATTTCAAAATCCTTGTCATGTCAGGATGGTTTTTTAATAGAAGTAAATTGCTAGCAATTATTGCACTCTACCTGATGTTAAATGATTTGCTAAGTTAACTGATGCGGTAATATTTATTTATGATATTAGTGCGGTGAATTGGCACCAAGTTTGTAAATACCAATTCCGTTCGAATGTCATACAACGT